ACATTTGTGAATTTAAACTAGTAAACACAGAAAAGGTACAGTGAAAATACAGAATAAGATACAAAATAGTACACATCACTGCATACCTGCCCCTACCCCAACCTGCCTACCGATCGTACAACCATTAAGTACAGTCAAGATCAGAAGCTGGGACCAACAGATGGTATAATGGTTACATCACCGGACTCCCACATAGTCAACTCCCATTCAAGTCCCAGAAACAGCAGCTTAAAACTCATGCCAGGAAGCCAGCAGGTGGCGTGGTAGTTAAGGTGGTGGACTCCCACATGGCCAAGCACAGTTTTAAGTCCCAGACTGGGTGGCTTGCTTTCTCATTTTCCCATTCTCTCTCTTGAACTGAAAAAAGTATAATTAAATTAAAAGAGAAGGGGGACAAAGAAAGCTCATGCCAGGCACATGTACCTGTGTGCACAAAATCCCGAGAGAAGAGAAAAATGGGTTGCAGCATGGCCAGCCCTCCTGCGGGGTGATTTCTCACTTTCTGTTCCTGTCTCTCTGGCAAGCGCACATGCCCTACATAGAAGAAAAACAAACAAAACAAAAAAACCTCTAGAACCGCCTGACCAATGTGCTCCATATAAACAAGGGAGACTGTCACATTTGGGGGTGATAGGCAGCAATAACTGCAGTCAGTGGTCAGGCTAGTCCATTACTCAGATTGTCTTAACATGAGTGGTTTAGGACCAACTGGTATAGCGAGCGGAAGAGTTAAGACTGATGAGAACTAAAGTTATGGTATTATGATTTCTTTACAAATTTACAGTCATCAGCATTCATACAGAAAACAAGTCTATTCTTACAGGATTCCCAAAATTTGTCATAGGAGGAAGGGCTTCATGTTCTCACATAGCTAGTGAACTTTCTTTACAGTTGAAAATCGTTGGTATTATGTCGAGTCACTTGGCTGTAGTCTCTCAGATGCTAAGTTCACTGTATTTTTATTGCCAGCACCCTCTTCTGGCTCCCAAACAGCTCTGGCTGGGTCTACTCAAAAGTGGTCCAAGTTCTACTGCACACACCATCTCCAAAAAAACCTTATGCAAATCTTGCTCCTCAAAGTGTGGCCTATGGACCAGGAACACTGAAGATTCATCCAGGCCTACTTAATCAGAATCTGCATTTGAATAAATTCCTCCAAGTGATTATTTCTCTTCAGATTTTAGTGTTTACACTTAGCTGCAACTTGGGGACTACAGCATTTGAATTCCCGGTTATTTTCGGCAATTGAGCAGACATTCTTAACTAAAACAAGGGAAGAAACTACACAGTATTGCCCCTTCCCATCGTTCACACACAGTAGCAAACACAAATGAAAAATTAAATACAAACTTCCGGAGTGCTGATTCACAATTGCTATGTTGTTATAAATCACACACCCTCTACTTCCTCTCCCATGCTATTAGAAATGACTTTCACAACCCTGCCAGATATTAAAAAGTATCAATCATAGCTTCAAAAATATTTTATCCCATATTTATATGTATTTTTTTCCCTACCAGTCAGTATCTTGAGGACAGGTAGGTACTGAATCTCATTCAACCTACTAATTTCCAAAGTCAAGTTCCAGCAGATGGTAATGGTTATGTCACATGACTGCAGTTCATCTTGAACCCAGTGGCTTGAAACTCACACCAGGCACGTACATGGGTACCCAAGATCCTGAGTGTGGAGAAAGGGATTGCAGCATGGCCATCCCTTGTGGGGGATGGGGGGTGACTTCTGGCTTCCTCTGACTCTCCATTGAGTGCACACATCCTATAGCAAAAATATCTAAGGCCAGCAGGTGGCGTAGTGGCTAAAGGCACTGAATCCCAGATGGCCAACCATGGTTTGAGTTCCAGACCTGACGGCTTGCTTTCTCGCTTTCCCTTTCTCTGTCGCTCTCTGGTCAAATTTAAAAAATAACAAATGGAACTAAATAATTCTATTAAGTCTTAAATAAAAGGAAAATGTCCCAAGTCAAATACAGTCCCTGGTAAAGAATAGGCATTTGACAGTGTCCTCTTCTAATAAATGAAAATAATAACTTGGTCAACTGAAGAGGTAACTGATCCATGACATTTCAAATAATGCAAAAATACCTACTTAAGTTTTAAAATCATAGTATATATTTTCATAGCCAAGTCAATTTGTTTCTCATATAGTATACTTCTCCCAGTAACTTGGTTCCAAAGATTTTAGTTCGGATGATAGAGAAAATATCCATGCAAACAGTTTATATACTTTATCATTTCCAATGTGTACGTTTTTTTACTAATCCTGTCTTAATCATTTTTGAATCCCTAATGATTCCTATAGTTTCTCGTATGTTTCATATACTTGAGTATTTCCTGAATGATAAAACTACCATGAGTTTGTTAGTATGTTACCATTAATAAATAAACCTCCAATGCAAAACACTTTAATAGGTTGTCAAATATACAGTTATTAGAATTATCTAAATATCACTTATAAAAATCAGTAAATCACATTAGATGATTCTATAAAATAAAAACACAAATTACACATTGACAATAACCCCTGCAGTCCAAGAATACCCCCATCAATTGTACGAATTACACATTAAAAAAAAAAAGACATTATTTAGACATTTAAACAAAAGTAACTGTGACTAAATACATTCATTCATCAAGTACAATAAATTTAGCATTGCTGCTTATAATCACTAATAACACAATTTCGGTGCAATTTCACATGCTTTCATAAATCTTCCAGTACAGTCCCCATAGTAAAGTGTCTTTGTGCACGCCATTTTCATTTATATGCAAGTACATCATACTTAAGACTATTTCATTTCATAATTAAACTTTTAATATATAAGCAAACACCAGACTAAAATTTAATCCATTAACAAAATTTTAAAATTAAAAAAAATTACTGGAAGTATATACCAATTTTTAAATTGCATGAGTACTATTTCCTCATAACAAGAATTTAAATACATGTATTAACTCAGAGATGGAGGCTCCAAGCTTCCTAAAGTATTAACAAGCAACTTAAGTAACAATACAATCACTCTGTAAATCAAAAAGTAATTTCATATTCATTGCCAAATTCAAAATAAGTGATCTGAAGATATGGTTGAGGCCTAAAATATTTGTACTAAACTGTAATATGCAATATAAAACTGCAGTTAATTTGCTTGTGAATATGTAATAGAATATTTCTCACAGTAATGTTATGTTAAACACTACTTTAAATGGACAAAGTATACGTACCTTTACCAGCAGGAAAAGGGACAAATTAAGGCTTTTTTATGCTATCTATAACTACTACCCAAACTCAAAATTCAGAGTGTAGTTGTAATGCTGTAAAATATCATTTCTAGCCTCTTTAAGATATTGTTAGTTGCTTCATACATAATAACCTCACCTCAACACTTATTACCTTATCTTTACACACACTCAAATGCTAGTTATCTTTACTACTTTTAAAAACCTATTTCTCTATGTCACCTCTTTACATAAGCCCTCAACCCCACTCCATCCAGACAGAATGCTGGAAATGGTTAGGATTTCAGCTGATTGGTTAACTGTATACTGGGCTAAAAAATGCTTGGCACATGGTATATATCTGATGAGTATTTCTGAATGAACTAATAACAAGCCTGGCCTCCAAAAGCAATCCTACTTGCTTTCCCAAAGTACTAATAGAACATTGCTACCTTTCTGGAAAACCAAACGACAATTTTTAAAAAGAAATGAATGTTTCTGATGGTATGAAAACATTACAGGATTCAACAGAAGGGATAACTGAGGCTACAAATAGAGCAAATCAAAGTTAAAGGCACTGGGTAAGGAAGAAAATTACAAAGCATTGTAAACAATTTTGAAAACAAATCAAGTTTTAAAGTATAAAATGCCAAAATACTAAAAAAGGAAAAAATACTACAATGACAATATTTTAAAACAGTGGATGCAATTTCTATGATCTCACTAATAAAATTCTTTCTTCATTCTACTTTCTTCCATCCTACATCTTCTGTAATAGTCCATGTTCTAGAAACAATGTTTCGGTTGAATGAAACAAAAAAATCACAACTAAAATGACTATGGAAATTAACTGCCTTTTCTTAAATGATAGTATAAATTTGATATATAAGCTTCACAGACATGATACATTGATTTGGAACTCATAAAAATGCTAATTAGTCCATCAAAATTCAGAAAAGCTACTTAGTTGAATAGTCTAGAGCCCCACAACAGCAATCTGTAGTGTAAGCGTAAGTAAGTATAATCTCTCCAGAACATAAGACAAAGAATAATGAATACCAGGTTGAAATATCACAAGCTCCATGTCAGAGCCATTTAATAAACACATTTTCATAACTGTTTCTTGAAAAACTAGATAAAATATTTAGCATTGCTGATTTTAATTTATTTGAATCTAAGTAACTTTCATCCATATTAAAATATCAATTAATGTAAATACTTTATTATAAAACTATTATACAATTAAAATTTTTATTAGAGAAATGTATTATTCACATCCACAATTTCTTAAAAGTCTTTCTTATGAGTGCATTCCAAAAGAAATACACTAAAACATTACGAATGTTTCCTAGGGGTAAAAAAAAAAAAAAAAAGTTATGTTTCCTAGGGGTAAAAAAAAAAAAAAGTAGTATGATAATCCTATCAACCCAAAACATATTCTCATTATGTTTATTTCTTAAACATCAACATGTTCAAATACACTTGGTGAATAATGATCATTCATCTCCACAGTGGTATATTTCAGCAGAATGTTCCATGACTGGACAAGATAAACAGTCACATGTAAATTACTAAAGATACTTAAAGGGGTAAAAAAAAAAAAAAGTAGTATGATAATCCTATCAACCCAAAACATATTCTCATTATGTTTATTTCTTAAACATCAACATGTTCAAATACACTTGGTGAATAATGATCATTCATCTCCACAGTGGTATATTTCAGCAGAATGTTCCATGACTGGACAAGATAAACAGTCACATGTAAATTACTAAAGATACTTAAGTCTATTAAATGGAAGCTTACTTATAAAGTAATATAAAATGGATATTGGATAACAGTGATAAAAAATGTAAACAGAATTAAATGTTAATCCCTTCCCTGAAAAACAAAAGATAAAGCGCTTGTTTTATTAAAACAAAACATGAGCGTCAAAAAGATAGACACTGACTTTTTAAACTATATTTCCATATATAGATAAAGAAAATCTGGAACAGCTGATTCAGACTTCATTATGCTAAAATGTGCAAAAAATTTGGTAATATTTAAGTTTATTAAATTCATTATAGATGGGCCAATGCTACCCCACACACACCAAAAAAGCGCCTCTTGTCTCATTAAGATTCAAAATAGTGTTTAATTTTCTGAGCTTAAGAATTACTGAATCACTATGTAAATAATAACAGCCAAAGTCCATATTTATGAAAAAACATAAAACTAAACATTTTGTTATGACTGGAAATTCTACTTAAAAAAACAAAACAAACAAAAAAAAAAACCTCAAAACAACTATAGTCAATACCCATCTGGGAAGAATAGAAAAACATGAAGTCCCTGTGAAAAATACTTAGCTGATTCTAAATAAAAAATTAAAAACAATCAAATTATGCTATAACAAAATGCATATATATTTTAACATTATTCTGGTTTGACAGAGTTACCAAGCATGAAATTCATAGGGATCTGGTACTTACGTTTGGACTTGGGTATTTGCAAAGTACCCTCAGAGAGGACTAAGAAGGTTAAGATAAACACAAAATTTTTATACTTTTCTCTAACTACAAAAAAGGTGCTTGGATTTAAAAGTTTAATTTGTAAAAGTAAAAAAGGGAGGAAAAAGGTCTAACGATTTACAAGTACAAAACATTTTCCAGGAATATGGGAAAACTGGTCATTTAGATGTGTTGTTTGTTAGTGAATCAAAGTGCAAATGATGACAGCATAATAGCGAAAGTATTTGCAAATTTAATTCCAAAGTTCTAAATGTTTTCAATGACATCATTAGTCATTTTTTAAAAAGGTGATGAGTGTCAGATCTGGTGGTGGCATGGCAGTAACACAACTGGACTCACGTAGGAAAGGTCCTGGGTTCACATCCTGGGACCTCTCTGGGCATGCCAGGCGAGCATGCCTATCATCCAAGGCAGCTGAGTCAAGGGGTAAATCATAGCATATGGCCCTGGTGGAGATGCCTGGCTCTCTCTCCCCACCCCAAGAAGAAATAAAACAAACAAAAAGAAGTGGGGATCAATCAAAGATAACACTTAAAAATCTAATTTTTCCAGGAAAATTAACATTGCCACTGCCCCCATGAATTAAATTATAATTTCTCAGTTGAGTATGATATAAAACTGCTATGAGTAAGAGTGTAAAAGCAAGGATGTAAATACACACCTACATACATTATGCACTAATTTATACAGAAGAGTTTTGGTAAAACATAATTCGGTATTGTCTTTCATTGCTTCACTGAATTCTAAGAAACATTACTTTTAACAACACACATTTGCTACTATTTAAATGGGGACATAGATGAATTTTAAAGAAAAAAATTCTCAAAACTTAAGAGAACTAAGTTTGAATCATCTACCTTTTTGAAGCTGCAGATAGAGAAAAAGGTAGCATGTACTTTTGTGACACTCCTTACATTGTATGAAACAGGTATTTCAAGTTTTTCATAAATCAAAGATTTTAAAAGAAAATGTCTTATTCCTTGAAAATAACTTTCTTTTCTCCTAACCTTGGTAAGAATAATTAGTGCCCTCAATTTCAAGATTTTCGTTGCTGCTGCTGTCTATTTCAATTACCTTTTCATTAAGTATAATATTTTGAAATGTATATATAATAAAAGAAGGGAAAAAATCTGCTTTTGGAATGTAACAATTCTGAATCATTTCACTAAGAAGCACCTTTTAGTATGCTGGTCTGAACTTTTACTATAAAACCTAAACAGTACATATTCCTGAAGTAGAATTTTCTCCAGTTTTAATAACTCCAGAGTAATACTAAGAACATCAACCTGTGCTTTCTAGATTTTTGTAGGTGTTTTAATAATACAATAGTTTAACTATGGCTCATCGTCAAGGTTGGGTGGACAAAGATTTTATGACAAACTGGCTACAGAAAGCCAACTAAACTCTTTAATGACTGAATAATGGTTTATATTTTGCTTGAGCCAAATAGATGTTGAAGCCATGTACCACCACATTCCCTGTTTAACATTCCTAAGTTTCTTTATTCTTCATAGCTTTATAATGAACAAATAATTAGTTTTCCTGAGTAAGATTATAAAAAAGTTAACCTTTCTACCAAAAGTATTAAGACAAATAAAATAACTCACAATACAAATTTTTACACAGCATTACAAGTGCAGAGCTACTGACTGCTGCTCTTCATAACGATTGGCCCACCCCTTCCAAAGACTGCTGCAAAGGATTCAATTGTCTAAAATACTTCGAAGTACAGAGATTAAATGTTTTAGCCCATAAACATATCCCTCATCTATTGTGTTGCTAGGGAACACATGAGCAAAATCTATCATTCGCACTTCTACTTCTGCAATCTCTTGGCAACCAGTGGGAAGATGGTAGAAAACTTTTTCCAGTTGGGAAAGTACATTTCCGTTTAAATGTTCCTGTGACAAGCTTTTCCACCCATTGTCTTGCTCCGTATTTTCAACTTTCAATGAAGTTTGACTGTGATGCTTTTTTGAATACAACTTCCTGTGACGAGCATACATCTTGGACAAGCTTTTGCCTACTGAAGTCTCTATTTTTCCATTTGCTGTGGAGCTTAGCATGTGAAAGTTATTATTGTACTCCAGTAGTTCTGTGTCTGACAGTTGTCCTTTGGACAAAAACTTTTCTGCCAAAGTTCTGTCATTCAATTTTGTAGTGGTTGGCTGAGATGAACCTTCATAAACGAACAGTAATGAACTTGCATAAAAGTTAAGCTGCTTCTGGTTTTCAAACCACTGCAGAATTTTCTCAATCTTCTGAATACTGGCAGTAATTGCATCTTTTCTTAAGCAGAACCCATTATGAAAAAACCTGGAGACTCCTATAAATTAAAAAATTAGAATTATAATCAAATTATAAAATAGCTATCATTTAAAAAGCAAACTCATGAACAGAAGTTTTTTTCCATCATTCCTTATAATTAACTGAATTCTAAGAACTCTAGTCAGGCATAGAAATTTAGACTTCAACTTAAATTTCAGTGAAGATGCTCTTAATAGAAAACATTTAAATGACATTAGTGTAAAGTGAAATGTCCTATTTAGATAAAAAAAGAAATTTAATACAGATATACTAGCAGTTTAGCTCTACCTATGTATTCTTTTAATAAACGTGATTTGCTATCCACTTACTATCATTTGCTATCATGAAGGATTTTCCTGTTTGTTAAATCACATGGAAGAGGGAATCTAAAATCTACAGTCAAATTCTAACCATTCTTAAAGATGTCAACAGCCCATTACTAAATACTAAACCTTCAGTCAACTTTTATTTCTCAGTAATATTGATTAAATCACTCTTGTCCACAAAAGGTAAGCTCACTTTGGGGATTGGTACTCCTCCAGACTGAGTAGATTATGGAAAATTAAGATTTTAAAATGTTTTAACCTGTCAGATTAATAGGCCTTTATAAAAAACATGACTATTTTATCATATGTGAGAATATATTAAATATATATCATTTGATTTCTGTTTTTAAGTACCTTATTCTCCCACTTTGGCACAGAAACTGTTCAAAAATATACTCATACAGGACAAATTATTAGCCTGGGAGAATATTTTGAAAACAGCCAAGTCAAATATTATCTTTCTGTTGGCTAAACACACCAGGGCAAATACTAATGGTCAGTCTCACACTGTGAATGTTTGTTTTCTATACATAAAAAATTCTTCTAATAAACTCTATAAACTATAAACTCTTATGTATCTTCACTGAACCAAAAGTAAACTTTTATTATTTCCAGATACCAAAGGTATTGTTCCTTTGTAATACATTAGCCACAACTATTTATAAGAATATATGTCATCAGATTGTATCTAAATCAGTTTAATGCCACTTGATTAGTCATTATGTATCTGTACAAGCTTAAGGCTCAACTATACATAGGAAATTTCCATTAAAAAATACATTACATGCTACAACATCCATTTCTAATGTAACAAGTCCTTTTAATATACTATGATCTATAATTTTTATTTAAAATAATTTTAAAGACAATCTCCAGTTCCAGTATTGAGCTAGCTGTTTGGTTCACAAATGTTCATTATTTTTTAAAAAGTGTATTAACAAGAACTGAATAAAGATGCAAAACAGGGCCATTCTTGGTCCCCAAGGATTTGGTATATCATGAACCAGGGATTTTATAATCCAATTATGTAAATCTAAATTTTGCTTAAAAAAAAAAAAAAAGATTGTTAATCAAATCATTATTCAAAAAAAAAAAAGGACTCAAAATTAAACTATTAGGTTGTTGGGAAAGTTACAACATATATTTCTGTTTTTCTATGCAAAAATACATCATAACTTTCCTAATAATGCAATACTTTTAGAATTATTTTGTTAACTGTCCAATTATAAGAGCATTGTTTTTAAAATTCTTACCATCCCTTATAGTTTCTTTTGTTAAGCTTCTTCCATAATGTTGGTTTTGTGTCTCATAGCTATCAGAATGAACATGATAAACCTGTCAAAAAAAAGCAGTGAATATTAAAAAACAAATAGTTTTTGACCATGTGGCGTTTATCCCAGCAATGCACGAATGGTGAAAGATGAGCTACACTCAAATACAGCCCATAGCCTGGCAGTTAAGGCAGCTGGCCCCATGGTTAAAAGTCCTGGACCCGTCGGCATGGAAAACCACACCAGGCACATGTGCATGCATGGCCAAAATCCTGAAAGGCAGAAGAGAAGGAATGGCAGTGTGACCATTCCCCATGGGGAGATCTTTCTTGCCTTCTATCCCTCTCAATCTCTCTGTTTAGCAAGCACACACACCCTCTAGCAAACTAAAGACAAAAAAAAAAAAAAAAAAGATGCGATATACTCATATAATTCATGTTAATAGATGCAAAAGGAAATAAATATATATATTCATATCAATGAATGCTGAAAAGGCATCTAACAAATTCAATACCCACTACTGATGAAAATTCTTTTATTTCCAATATAATAATAATCTCTCTCAATCCACAAAAAGCAGATAATGGTGTATACTGGAAAGTAAACTAAAAAAGAAATATAAACAATAACCATGTGAAATGGTGATTGGGCACAAATTAGTAAATAGAAAATAAGCTTTCAGATATACAAATAACTAGTTAGAAATTTTAATGGAAAAAACACCCCATTTATAAATTTTAAAAAAGGGACACATAGAAATAAACTAAGTATAAGAACTGTATGACAATTTAAAAACATTTCTAAGACACACACCCATGTCCTTAGAAAAGATGATTCATATCATAAAAGAGATCAGTTCTACCTAAGTTTATTTACAACTAAAGTGTGATTATAACAAAACCACCAACAATTTTTAACCCTAAAAGCTAATTCTGAAGTCTACACAGAAAAACAAAAGGAGCCAGGAAAACCCAAAATAAGATTAATAAGGCAGAACTAACTTTATTATCCTACCAGATTTTGAAAGGTATTTTAGAATCAAACATGTGTGAGAATTTAGTATGTGACAATGAGATTTTATGTGAGTGAAAAAAGATAGATTACTTCATGGTTTAGGTCTGATTAGTAATGATCTGGAAAAACCAGTAAGACATATTCATACCTCATACCTAATGTCAGAATAACTGCAATATAACAAAGACCAAAAAGCACAAAGTAAAATTTTAAAAAGGGCTCCCTAATACACGAATAATTGATAATTAGCAAAGGCATTTTCCAACCAAAACTGAGAAATTTCCACTATGCACAATACGGTTTTTTTAATGTCCAGTGTTTTTGCAATGAAGAAATCAAAAGACAAATAGACAAACAAGAAAAATTATTTAAATGTGTGTAATGAACAAAGGGAATGTCATACTTATTGGAAAATGAACAAAGGATCTGAAGAGTTCACAGAAATCAAAAGAAATTAAAAGCTTTCAAACATACCAGGAGCACAGCTCTTTGCCCCGTCAGCCCCATGGTACAACAGTTAGGAACTATCCAGATGAAGCCAGATCCCACATAGCCAAACAGGGTTCAAATCCTCACCCTGCCCAACTAGCATGTGTATGTCCAGGACCTGAGAGAATGGGGAACTAGAGGAAGGACTACAGCATGACCAGGCCCAATGGGGGATGCCCTTTCTCTATCTTCGTTTTCAAGTTTGTCCTTAGTGAGGGCTCTATTTCATAGGATGACAGAGCAGAAACCAGACCGAAATACCTAGTGAAAATGTTAGTGGAAATAACTACTTTGGTTGTAATGAGGAGAAACGTTAAATCTGAAGCTAGAGAACACAGTAAGATAAAAGTGGGGCTTTGATGTTTGATTTTTAAAAAACCAAGAGTAATTTAAACATATTTAAAACAAAGGAAAAGAGCCAGTAAAGGGAGACAGAAGTTGAAGACAGAAAGACAAGAGCTTCTCTTGAAGAGACAATGGGGGAATGACATTCAGAGGGAATAACTGTCCTTAGAAGGATGGAAAATTCTTTTTTCCTAAAGTTAACTTCATGAGTGAGAAAAAGAGACAGAAACCCAACAAAGTTTTGACACTGTGCTCCACCCCCAGTATTCAGCTAGTCCTGGATCCTGTGCACATGTACGCTTGGTGTACTTAAGGAGGTCCCCAGACTTGAACCAGGAACCTCCTTGTGTAAGATTGCAAAATGCTCACAGAGCATCTTGTTTTATCATTGTGCTGCCACCTGGTCTGAAACTTCAGTATGTCAGAAAGGAATGAAGAGAAAATGAAAGCAATAGCAGGTAAAGTATGTACATCTGTTAGCAGGAATTGAGGAAAACTTGGTTTGACGATTTTTGTTTTGCTTTCTGAAGTAAAGTCATATGCTGAAAGTGAGAAGGAAAGTGAGAAGAGGGTGACAGACTTGAAAATAATGGAGATTTAAATAGTTGCCAGTCAGATTCCTATGGGATGTTCATTTCTTCTATATTTTAACATTATTCCATTACCCTTTTTTCCTTTTCTATATATTCATATTTAATTACAGATTTCTAAGTGAAATAACTGCTTGAACAATTTCTCTGATTTACAAACAGAATATCAAACTGTGCTGTTACCATTACATTAATAATCACTCTATAACATTACTATTTATTAACCTTCCTATTCAAAATTCAAGAGGAAAATCCATACATTGTCTTACATGATGAATTTCAAAACTACCCACTATGCCTATATACGTAAGCAATCATTTGGTAAATTCAAAAATGTTTAACCTTCACATCTACAAGACATTTATTTATAGGCATTTATTCCACATTAGTTCTTGACTGTAACATACTGTTTGCAAAATGGACTCAAGAATTTTTCCTATCCTTGTGTATATTGTCATCCACATAATGGCGCTGCTCGATTCCCCATCATCAAAAGAGTCTTTAAGAGGTGTTTACCTTAGGCACGTGGTCTCACCAGAGAGAGAGAGACAATGAGAGGGAAAGGGGGAAATAACTCCCCCAGGGGAGACGGTCATGCAGCTCTCGGGTTCTTAGGCGTGCACACGTGTGTGCATGCACATATACACACACACCCTACCAGATCCAGGGTCTTGAACCACTGTCAGCCACATGGGAGTCCACTGATGTAACTGTTATGCCACCTGCAGACCCCAGGAGGGGAATCTGGATGACCCTGTGTAAGACTTTGACCCATAAAATTTCACATAAGTGACATCAAGTAAGATAAGTGAAAAAACTGTGTACCAGAGCCCAACTCAAGTTGCCAATCTGTAGACCTTTTTTTTTTTTTTTTAAGATATTTTCTTATTTAGGTCTAGCAGTTAGCATAATGGCTATGTTGCTGGACTACCATGTAGTCGACTATAGCTCAAGTCCTAGACTGGTGGCTTAAACTCACGCGCAGTGTGCGTGCATGCCCAAGAACCAGAGAGGAGAATAGAGGAGAAGGGATTGCCGTGGCCATTCCCCCCAGGGGGTGATTTTCTCACTTTCTGTCTCTATGTCTCTCTTGCGAGTGCACACGCCCTATAGCAAAGAAAAAAAAAATTCTCAAAAAAGTTTTTAACTTTATTTTTTGTTTATTTATTTTAATTTGACCAGAAAGGGAGGGAGGGGGGTGGGGGGGAGAGAGAGAGAGAAAGCAAGCCGCCAAGTCCAGGACTCGAACTGTCCTGGGCCACGTGGAAGTCCAGCATCTTTCACCTGTCAGCCCCAACAATCCATAGACTTGTGAACAAATAAAACTGTCTTAAATTGCAAAGTTTAGAGTAAGAAGGTGCCATTCCGAAAGAATGAAAAGGGGCTGGCACAGGTGGCCGCTGCCCTGGGAGGGAGGGGGGAAGTGCCTCTCTCCGGGGCGAGGCCGCATTGGCGGATTGATACATGGTAAAGAGGCACCGGTGTCTGGCAGAGCCGGTGTGAGACAAAGAGGAAGAGACAATCTTTCCCCGCTCCCCCACATGGATAATCAAGAGTTTTGGCCAGACCTTTGCACGAGAACACCAAGTTACTGAGGAGCCCAACAAAAAGCACAGCCTATGGTGTTGAAACGGACTAATAAGGAACTTAGTAATTTGGCCCATGAGCCTCCAGCACAGTGTCCTGCAGGTCCAGTTGGGGAAGATATGTTTCTTTGGCAAGCCACAATTATGGACGTAATGACAGCCCATATCAAGGCGGTGTATTCTTTTTGACCATTCATTTCCCTCGGTGTATTCTTTTTGACAATTCCTTTTCCTACAGACTACCCCTTCAAACCACCTAAGGTTGCATTTACAAGAATTTATCATCCAAATATTAACAGTAATGGCAGCATTTATCTTGATATTCTAAGATAACAATGGTCTCCTGCTCTAACTAGTTCTAAAATTCTTTTATCCATTTGTTTACTTTTTGTGATCCAACCCAGATGACAACCCCCTTGTGCCAGAGAGTGCACAGATCTATAAAACAGAGGTAAGTAGAACAGAATATCTCGGGAATGGACTCGGAAGTATGCCACATGATGCTACCTTAAAATCAGAATAACCTGCAGTATAGCTGGAGTAAACTTTAAATTACTGTTCCTTTTTTGATCTTCTTATCCAGCTGCTCCCCTAGCAGGTCTCATCTTTTTTTTATTATTATTTTTTACCTCCCTCCATTCATTCACATGCTCATCTGAGAAGACTTGCTCTTCCAGCTTTGGCCAATAACTGCTTTTAGAAACTGTAAAGTAGTTATAAGAGAACAGTTGCCCAAGAGTCAGAATTTTTTAAAAAAATAGAGCATGCGTATTACATGGCCCATGTCTTCTCTCTAACTTGATTATGAGACTAAAACCATTCCTCACTGCTCTTACATGCTGAAGAAACCATCTGAGGGGGAGGGAGATGGAGGCTCAGTTGTCACATCAAAGGAAGCAGCATTATTCTGGCAGCATCCATTCTTGATTAAGCCTTCCACTGTTAGAGATTTGAGGTTACATGATATACTTTATGCTCATAATTTATATGGCTGGAAAATTGGTACTGAATTTATAGCATCGGCAGAACAGAAAATGTGATGTATTTTATGCATGTCAGTAAAGGAAGGGACCTGCTCTTGTTCTAAAGAGACTGGAGACTGGAAGCCAAACACCCTTTGAATTCCAAAATAGAGTCAAACATTTTGTAATTTTCATTTAAATTGTTAGGAGGCTTGGAGCTATTAGTTACTCTATCTTCCAATACACTGTTTAATATAGCACTGAGTGGAACTAGCTGTTAGCCTAATGGCTATGTCGCTGGACTCCCATGTAGTCAACCATGGTTCAAGTCCCAGACCCAGTGGCTTAAACTCACATCGGGCACATGTGCGCACATGCCCAAGATCTCAAGAGGAGAATGGAGGAGAAGGGACTGCAGCATGGCCATCCTCTCTACAGGGGGATTTCTCGCTTTCTGTCTCTCTGTCCCTCTGGCGAGTGGAAGCACTCTATAGCAAAAAAAAACTCTCCAAAAAACTAAATAAATAAATAGCACTGAGTAAATGATGTAAGTTGTCAATGGATGAGTGATCAACTAATAGTTCTGCTAGTAATTGATTTTTCTACAATTAGTTGCATAAACAAAAATAAATAAATTGCAAAGTTTAAAGTAATGCTTTAAAACAATGACTTAATTTTTAATTTCTCTACTTTAAAAATATAGAAAAGTTACTAATACATATACTTAGCACTATTCTCATGGGAAAAACCATAAATACTATCATGTTTACTTTTAGTACTTATTTTGTACTTTTATTAAAACTTCTTTAAAACAAAATTAACAGGCACAGTCTTGAGGTTCAGCCATTGGTTTGTTTATTTATTAACTACCTATTACGTGTCTGGACCATTAAGACACTGCCGACAATCAGTGAACAAGAGAGATAAAAGTTCCTAGCCACACAGAGTTATATACTGGAGAGTTATCAACAACCCGATTCTAAAATACATTATCTTCTGATATATTAGTATTATCATGACATTCATTATTTTCAAGGGAAGAACATGTAAAGATAAAAAGTGAATATTATACTAGTGATCACTCTTACCCTCATGCCAAGCACCAAGAACCCAATCTCTTCCATCAATGGATACTTGCTGACCTGTTGCTGGATCTTCTCAGGTGAGGCAAAAGGGTCATAGCTTTTTCGCCCTATCTTTACATCCATTATACAGGGCTTATTAAATTTATGGGTCACATCTTCCAGTTTTAAGTACAAATCTGTTATTAAGGAAAAATCTGAATTAGTAATAGGCAAATATATTACTATTCAAGTAACTGCTGGGGGGGAAGGGAAATGAGGAAATTCTAAAACAGAAAAAGTTAAAATATATCTAGAGTCAACAGTTGAAAAAAAAAAATGGCCAACAAATGTATTAGTATCTCAGGGCTTAAATAATACTAAACAGGCATTTAAGTAATAGTCATAAGCAAAAGGTGTACATACAAAGTTTCCAAGAACATTAACAAGACAATGAGGGGCCAGGGCCACAGCACCAGCACTTAGGCCCTGTACAGTTAAATCAGATCCGACAGGTCCGATTATAACGTGACTCCTCACCCCAGTGGCTGGGAGTGTGCGCGTGCATGTCCAAAATCCTGATGGGATGGAGCAGTGGAAGAGAAAGGACTGTGGCATGACCACATCCCACTGGAAGAGCTCTCACATGTTCTCTTTCTCTTTCTAGTGCGTGCACATGCCCTCTAACAGGTTAAAAAAAAAAAAAAAAGATGAAAAAAGAAAAAAGCTGTGAGATTATTTTAAAAGCTATTTCACGGGCCAGCAGATGACATAGTGGTTACACACATGGTCAACAGTGGTTCAAGTTCCAGACCCAGTGACTTGAAAATCACACCAGGTACATGTGCGTGTGTGCACAATGTCTTGGGAGGAGAAGGGACTGTGGTGTGGCCATCCCCTCTGTGCGTGTGCGTGTGCGCGTGTGTGTGTGTGTGTGTAGAGTGGTTTCTCATTTTACCTCTCACTATTTTTGTCTCTCACTCCCACTCTCCAGAGAGTGCACGTGCCCTAAGGCAAAAATATCTGAAATAAATAAAAGCTATTCTAGAATACAGTCATGTCTTGAATATAACTTAAGCCATCTGTGACAGCAGATCTCCTATCTCAGTAATTTTTTAAAGAATTACTTAACTTTATTTGCTTTAATTTGACCAGAGAAAGATGGAGGGAGGGAGGGAAATGAGAAAGCAAGCTGCCAGGTCCCAGACTTGAACCGCAGTTAGCCACGAGGGAGTCCAGTGTCCTTAACCATCATACCACCTGCAGACCCTCATTTGAAAAATTTTTAAATTCTTCATTTGAAATTAATATTAGGGATAAAGCTTTACCCTAGAGTAGACAAGAGAAGTGTAAGCTAAGAGAGGGTAAATTAATCAAAAACAATAATCACTGCCAAGCACACATTCCCGTCTTACTACTTTCAAAGGAAAAACAAGTATCTTGCTTTTCAGAACACTAGACTCCCCAAAAGTAGGTCTGTAAATCCCTTTGGTATCCTGCGTATGTCTTTCCACAGAAAACTTAAGTGGAGGTGTCTAATATTATAAAAGCCCTAGTTATCACATACAACTGCACTTCTTACACTTTTAGCCTACCTTTTTTATTTACTAAGAGATTTTTGCTATAGGGTGCATGCATGCACTGGAGAGGCGGAGACAGAGACAGAAAGCGGGAAATCACCTCCCAGGGTGGATGGCCAAATCCCTTCTCCTCCATTTTCCTCTCGGGATTTTGGACCTGCCTGCACATGCATCTGGCATGAGTTTCAAAGCCTCCGAGTCCAGAACTGGAATGGCGGTTGACTACATAGGAGTCCAGTGACATTATCATTATGCTACCTGCTGGTCCCTACACTTTTAGCTTAAAGCAAGATTCTAGGTCCGCTGAAGGAAAAAGAGAAGAAATTCTTTTAAATTCTCTTTTCCTGAATAAGAGAATACTCTCAAGTTCTGAATGATACTGATTCATTTTTAAGTTATGAATGTAATAAGCATTTCTCCTAAAAATTAATCACAAAGACAGAAAAGACTACATAACTTTCTACCTTTATGCCAAGTAGGGTTAGGGAGAGTATGTATCTTCCCTGAATTAAATTAACAGGGTACCCATGGTAATAGAAAGAAGCCTTTACCCTCTCAAGTCCTTTCTTTGTCCCTATCCCTCCAATATTAGCATAGTAATTAAATAACAAAGAAATTCCGAACTAAAAGTGAAAACAACCCAATTTGAGCATGAAAGTCTTAAAGTTCTCACATTTAAGAGGCATAAGTCTGAGACCAGCAGATGGCTTAATGGCTACATCGCTGGACTCCCATGTAGTCAACCGTGTTTCAAGTCCTGGACCTGGTAGCTTAAATTCACGCCACGCAAGTATGCGTGTGTGCCCAGGATCCCAGAGGAGAATGAAGGATAAGGGATTACGGTGTGGCCATCCCCCTTCAGGGGTGATTTCTTGCTTTCTGTCTCTCTGTCTCTTTCTGGTGAGTGCACATGCCCTATAGCAAAAACTTCTCAAAAAAATAAAGAGGCATAAATCTCCTTCAAAGGATAAGAGATAAAAAGATTAATTTCACATCTTAGTCAAAAGGTTATGACTATGTAGAAGTAGGTTAAGTTGGGGACGAAGGTGGTGTAGTAAACTAGACTCCTACATGGCCGACCTGCGGTTCAAGTCCCAGACCAAATGGCTTGCTTCCTCACTTTCCCTCTTTCTCTCTCTCTCTGTCCCTTTCTGCTCAAATTTAAATAAATTAATTAATTAAGTTAAATACAATAATTACTTAAAAAAAAAAAAAACAGGTAAAGTTAAGACCAAACGTGACTAAAAAGGAATTACAGTACAAGAGAACAACATTGAAATACACAAAAGAGGTCTTCACACTTGAAAGGAAGGTGCTCACAGACAGACTTCAACGGACAAGAGAAAACAAAGGTCTAGGCGTGGATGAGAAACTGGTGAAAGTGAAGTGATGGGACAGGTGGGAATATCCTGGTAAGAGACTTGGAACCCACTCAACCTTCTCTGCACTAAACGATAACCACAGGATGGGAGAAGACGGGAAGGAAGGAGGACACGATCGTTTCCCTCGGATTTTCTCCTCTCATCTCCAGCCACCTTGAGAAAAAGGGAAGGAAATAGATGCACTGTCTCTCTCTATAGCCATAAAAGAATTTCAGTAACATGGCTTGTATTTCTAAACACAAAACTAGATTAAGATTAGATCCATGGCATTCAGAAATTAATTATCATCAATTTGTAGTCAAGAGACTCAGAAAATCTTGAGATGAGGCTGTGAGAAAGGCAGAAAGTGAACCCAGCTATCACATCATGTTATCTCCATGCAGTTATTTTGTTTGTCAGTTTGACAGTAAGTTCAAACAAATACACTGTTTCTTTATGATAAGATACAGATGACAGAGAGCAGAGAAGGGACTTTGTAAGTCTAAACATAAATCCTTATTTCTTCCTTTCTTGGAAAGGAAAGAAAACAACAAGCGCAAACTTCATATATGCTACGAGTACAATAAATGTTTGCTGAGTGAATGAGTGTTTGCCTTTCCCATTCCTCCTGCCAGTGGAACTCTGGCCTTGGCCTTCCTCATTCTGTAATAAATTGAGTCATACCTTCGGTAAACAGGGTGAAGTATCATGGGTTTTATTTGGCATTTATTTTGATGGGCCAAATGTGTTTTCCTTTATCTTACTTTCAGATTCTTGATATGCTTATATAACTGATATTTCCAAACAATTGCTAAATTATTTATTATTACCCTTCAGAAATAAAACTTAAGGCCTACTTACGACTGGTTTGGTGTTTTCTTCTAAGTTCTTTGGTCTCAAGTTTTTAAATGAAAGCAAGATTTGAAATTCTCTTTTCTTTCTAAGCTATAAAAATAAACATCAAAACCTCCTTTAGACATGCAGATTTCTTAAGAATGTAATATAATGTGAGGGAGTGTCAAAAAGTCCATGAAAAAAATATAGTTACAGTACAAGTTTATTTTATTTTATTTTATTTTATTTGGAGAGATTTTCACTGTAGGGCACGTGCGCTCGCCAGACAGAGAGAGACATAGAGACAGAAAGCGAGAAATCACCCCCCAGGGGGGATGGTCACGCCACAATCCCTTCTCCTCCATTCTCCTCTCGGGATCTTGGGCGCGCACGCACACGTGCCCGGCGTGAGTCTTTTAAGCCACCAGGTCCGGGATACGAACCGCGGTCGACTACGTGGGAGTCCAGCGACATAGCCATTACGCTAACTGCTGGTTCCCAAAGTACAAGTTTATTGTGGCTCAAAAATTTTCTAAATACATGGAATTTTTTCATAATATGTATTTTTCCGGGAGCAGCATATGTGTAATGGTTACACTGTCAGACTCTCATGTAGCCAACTGGGATTAGAGGCCCGGACCCAGCAACTTGAAATTCACACCAGGCTCGTGTGTGCGCATAACCAAAATCACAACAGGAGAATGGAGGAGAAGGGATTGTAGCATGACCATCGCCCCCAGAAGGTGATTTCTTGCTGTCTCTCTCTGTGTCTCTGGTAAGTACATGCGCCCTATAGCAAAAATCCTTTTATTTTTTTTTTTTTAAAGTGTATTTTCCACAAACTTTTAAAAAACTCCTTCTGTTTTTTTTTTTTGGAGAAGTTTTTGCTATAAGGCACGTGTGCTCGCCAGAAAGACAACAGAGAGATAGAGACAGAAAGCGAGAAATCACCCCCCAGAGGGGATGGCCACACTGCAATTCCTTCTCTTCCATTTTCCTCTCGGGATCTTGGGTACACACACACACGTGCCTGGCGTTGAGTTTAAGCCACTGAGTCTGGGACTCGAACCATGGTCGACTACATGGGAGTCCAGTGACACAGTCATTATGCTAACTGCTGGTCCCAGGAAAGCAGGCCACCAGGTCTGGGACTTGAACCACAGGTGGCCATGTGGGAGTCCAGCATCCTTAACCACCATACCACCTGGCAGCCCTTCCCTCTGTATTTCTAGCATCTTACCAGAAGTGTTTTCAATAAAGGTAAATGGAAAAATGGGGCATGATCTGAGCATTGAGATCTTCACTGATTTTTTTTTTTTTGCAGATCATCAATATAAGTAAACCTGAGATTACTGAAAAAATTACTTTTAGCAAATTCTTTCCCTGGAATAGAGCTTAATTCAAGGAAAGGCAGATCTTGAAATTCATGGTATTTCATGATCAAAGGCATCTTACTACAGGGTGGTCTCACTTACAATGCCACAGACTGAATAGCAGAGGACACCTTTCTGGCCAGGCCCCTCTGGGTATAGAGTAGAGTGGTATTTTTCCATTTGCAGGTCATAGCCCATTCCTGAATCACTGAGTTCAATTTAATGGGTTGTAACCAAAAGCTTTTTGAATGAAAAAGAAAAGAGAAAGGTAAAGTTCTAAAAGGTAACTAAGTAAGCCACATGTAGAACACTGGTAAAAATAAGCAGCACAGAGGCTAAGTCTAAGTCTTGTGACTGAGTTACATTAGCATACATGAACCTCAAGGTTATTTTGTACAGAAAACCAAAAAAGGTTGTTGACTAACTAGCAAGTTCTTAATTTTTAAATCTAGCTAGTAGTAATCCACAACCCTAAAATACCATTTTTAGTTCTTTTTGGCCCAGCCTGGTGGTATAGTCTACTGATTTGGGGTATGTACAAGAGTGCTCCTGGAGTCGAAAGCTGCTGGGCACAAATGCATCTGGTGTCTCTAAAGCTGTTGGATCTGGAACTCAGACACACAGTTGGCCACATGGGATCAGCTCCCTTAAACACTGGGCCACACAGCTGGCCCTAAATTTGCATTTTAATAAGACCATAGGCTTTTCTAAATCTATTTAAGTTTAAAACCCTTTCCCATCACAGAGAAATTCTATGCCTTATTTTATCTAGCTTATTCTAGCTTATTTTATCTCTGAGACTGTTTTTCAGTCTTCTGAAAAACACTGGTAAATTTAAAGCCTGCAGGTGGAAAATGGAGGAGGACAGGAAATAAGGCAGAAGTCATGTTTTTTTTTTTTTTTAATTACTCAGAATGGAGGCCCAGCCATGGAAATGTAGTATGAGCTGGCTCAGGCTGCCTGTAAGGCCTTACTCCCCAGCCCTTCTTAAAAGAAAAGTATGATGGTATGCACCTGGTCTATAGTCCCAGCTATGCAAATAACTAGGACAGGAAAATCACAGGATAGTAATACCCTGTCTTTCAAAATAAAAAAAGGGAGGTGGTAGCAACAGATGACATAATAGTTACATTACTGGACTTCCAAATAGTTGACAGCAGTTTGAGTCCCAGACCTGGTGGCTTAAAACTCACACCGGTAGCATGTGTGTGCATGCCCAAGATCCCAAGAGGAGAGGAGAGAAGAAGGGATTGCACCATGGCCATCCCTCCTGGGGGGTGATTTCTTGTTTTCTGTCTCTGTTTGTCTGTCACTCTGGCGAGCACATGCACAATATAGAAAAAAATCTCTCAAAAAAAGAAAAAAAGGATGGAGAGCTGGCAAGTGGCATGGGGGTTTAGGTGCTAGACTCCCACAGAGCCAACCATGGTCCCAGATCTGGCGGCTTGCTTTCTCACTTTCTTTCTCTGTTTCTCTCTGGTGAGCATATGTGCCCTGTACCAAATTAAATTATGATAATAAATTAATTAAATAAATGATTCTTTAAAAAATAAATAAATAAAAAGTAGAGAGGGTAGGAGAAGAATTTCTGCTTGAAATTCTTGCACAATGAATAGCAAAAACATCTGTAAATTAATTCAGTATTAAGTACAAGTATACTTTCTTTTTTCTTAATTATTTGATTTTATTTGATGTAATTTATTTTTCAATTTGACCAGGGAGAGACACAGAGAGAGAGAAAAAGAGAAAGCAAGCTGCCAAAACTCGACCTATGGAGTCCAGCGCCTTAACCACCATGCTACCTTTTGGTCCCACATATATACTTTCATCCTGTTACAACAGAAGATCATTTACTTGTATATCCAATTTAAGGAAATGATTACTAATAAGAGTTAGTAAGTTTTGTTTAGTGAAGTAGAAAGATCAAAAAGAGAGACAGACACATTGTTTTTGTTTGTTTGTTTGTTATTTCTAAAGGATGTATGCACTCTTCAGTAGATGGAGGTGGGGAGAGAAAGCCTCCACAACAGGGCATGGCCACACCGCAATCCTTTCTTCTCCACTTCTCCACCCATCCAGGTTTAGGTCAAGCACACATATGCACCAGCATGTTTATCAAACCACCTGGGCCAGGACTTGAATTGTGGTTGGCCACGTGGGATCTGACTCCCTATGCACAGCACTTAACCACTGCACTACAGGGACAGCCCTATTCTATATGTTTATAATACATACTAGGTGTAATTTTACATAAAGCCTTTTAAAATGTTATGTATCTTTTTTAAAGACTTATTTTATTTAACTTTATTTAGTTTTTTCTATTTTAAATTGACCAGAGAGGGACGGAGCAAGATAGTGAGAAAGCAAGCTGCCAGGTCTGGGACCCAAACCGTGGTCGGCCATGTGGGAGTCCAGCACCCTTAACCACTACGCCACCACTAAAACATGTAGTTTTAAGAGAAAAGATTACCGTTTGGTGCAGTGGGAGGTGACCAGATGCCATAATATTTTGGCAAATATCGTCGTAGCTCTTGAAGAACACAATCACTACAATCAGCAGCATAAACCTAAAACAAAGAAACATAATACTTATTAGTTTCTAATACTATTTTATAACTTCCCTGAACATTTCTTAAATAAAATGCAATACTACTGAATCATAATTTATCTAGTATGAGCTTCAACTGGAAATCTGAAATAAGCAAAAAGAAGATTACTGTGTGTCGCCGTGATAAACTACATACTATCTGGAGCATATTCTTCCTGGTTATCCAATTCTTCTCTTTCACTGTCCTTGTACTATTTTAAACTATGTGACTGGGTGACTTCTCACTTTCTCTCTCTCTGGTGAGTGCACAAATCCTATGACAAAAACTTAAAAAAAAAAGGGGGGGGGCGCACAACCAAAAAAAAAAAAAAAAAAACCCTCTTATTATGTCAAACCATGTTCATGCCAAATAGCTGTACACAACCTAAGTCTACAGGATAAATTCAAGTGTGGCAGACTCATCAAATATCCAGGTGTACACTTTATTTACTTCCTAGCCTCTCTGTTGAAATGTAAATAAAGGTGTTAGTCACTTCCAGGCCACTTTCAGGCCATGGTAATTAAAAGGAGGTGTGCCTTAATGTCCCTTCATTCCTAGCACAATGACCATGAGGGTGGAGTGTCCATGATAACCTAACTATAAGATGAAGTAGACTTTCACACACTGATCTAAAGAAAAGAAGTCCATGATATATTTATAAGTGAGAAAAGATGAAAGGCACATCACGCAAAAATACGTAAAGCAGGTTTATAAAATTAAATAAAACATGGGGGCAAGCAGGTGGCATGGTGACAGGTGGCACTGGACTCCCACATGGCCAACCACGATTCAAGTCCAGACCTTGCAGCTTGCTTTCTCTCTCTTTCTCTCTCACTCTCTGCTGAATGCATGTGCCCTATAGCAAATTAAATAATAATTAAATGAATAATTCTTTAAAAAATGTTTAAGAATTATCTTATTTAACTTTATTTATTTATTTATATTTATTTTAATTTTACCAGAGAGAGACAGACAGAGTGAGAAAGAGAGGGAAAGTGAGAAAACAAGCCACCAGGTCTGGGACTTAAATCGCGGTAAGCAATGCGGAAGTCCAGAGCCCTTAACCACCATGCTACTTGCCAGCCCCCCTTTTAAAATTTTAAGGAAAATGGGACCAGCAGTTGGCATAATGGCTATGTTGTTGGACTCCCATGTAGACGACCACAGTTCGAGTTCTGGACCCAGTGGCTTAAACTCACACCAGGCACTTGTGCATGTGTGCCCAAGATCCCAAGAGGAGAATGGAGGAGAAAGGATTGCGGCATGGTCACCCTCACAGGGGGGAGAGGTCTCACTTTCTGTCTGTCTCTGTCTTTCTGGCGAGCGCATGCACCCTACAGCAAAAATCTTTCCAAAAAAAATTTTTTTAAAGGAAAACAAGAATATGTATGTATTATCTCTGTAAAGCCAAGAAAAAATGATAGATATGCTCTTAAAACTATTCAGTTTAGATCTGAGATGGAAATGGAAGACTAACGAGGTAAACTTTCTCTTCTAACTTTAAATATTTTTAAAAAGTAGTGTCCCTGGCCTAGGTAGAATGACATCTGGCTAGTGGTGCCTATTATTATTAGCCAGGGACAAAGCAACCCATTGTTTATCTCACCTTGGCTTTTGGTCACTGACCATGCCTGGTTCGTATCTTGGACACATAGAATGAAATATAAGAAAAAAATAAATAAATGCATAAAGTAGTGGGACTGGTGTTTACTGCCACATGCCAGACAAAATAATCTAAAAACCTTTCTACTATATAACAAATCCCTAAATACATAGTTGAACCTCAATGAAAAAAAAAGAAAAAAAAAAAAGAAAATTCAGTCAGTAGACTAACAGTTAAGGGAACGAGATCCCACATGGCTGACCATGGTTTGAATCTTGGTCCTAGCAGTTTGAACAACATGGTGTATGCCCCAAATCCCAACAGGATGGAAGAATGGAGAAGGAATTGTGGTGTGACCAGACTCCCTTGGGAGGGGTTTTCTCCCTCTTCCATTTTTTTTTCTGTCTCCCCTTTGGCAGTCAAGCTGATCAAAAAAGAGAAATGGCAAATAAACAATAACGGGGGAAAAAAGTCCTAACTAAATACAGCAGAGATTTTTTTTTTTTTAAGTTCCTATACGGAACT